AATTATGAAGTCTCTGTAAACAAACTAGTCCTTCAGAAAAATGGCCAGATGAGACTAAAACAGACTGAAGACTTCTATCATCCAGTTTTAGGTAGAAAGTGAAAAAGGAGAAAAATGATAAATCATGCAAATGGAAATGATTGAGCTCATTTTAATTTATCATGCAGATAATTGACTTATTGCTTATTGCAACAGGCCTGGGTGTGTTCGCCCCAGTCCTGTTTAATCTGCTCTCATCCAGCTCCAGTCCATCTGTCTGCAAAGTTTGTTTCGTCAGAGCAGGGTATTCTGGGTAAATACTACCAAAACAAACGTGTTCATCCAAAGACGAAAGAGAAATCCTCCAACCACTAAAATCTGACACCACTCCAGTTTTGTTTTCATTTGTGAAGAAGGAAGTTGCGCTCAGTGTTTTCTTCAGATGTTTTTGAGTCGTTTTCACAGATTTCTGCTGAAGGTGGCGTTAAGACCGCATCCTTTTGACGTACTGCAAAACTGAAGTACCGTCCTCAAAGGGCACTTTTCTTTTAAATTATCTGGGGAAGAACCGAGAGCTAACACCATGCACCAGAGAAATCCCTTGACTTTCAGTTAAACTTGACTAAAATTGATTAAACTCCACATATTTGCCTGGCGGGAAGCACAGGAGCTGCTTTCTGGTGTCCGTAACGCGGAGCAAAACGATGACCAGCGGTCTGAAGGCAAACCGCCTCTCTTTCTCTACATCTCCACCTCTGCGGATTTAGTCTGAGATTCAGCAGATGTGAGATGTTGTTTGGACGGTTATGTCATAATGAAGCGGTGGAGCTGCAGCCAAGATGCCCAGAAGGGATCACAGGCGATCAAGGAGCCGCCGTCAAAGCAGAACACATTGCCCTTGACAGCTGGCGCCGTGGGAGTCGGCTCTTCATCGGCCCTACAGCAGATAAACGCAGAGTTTTGTTTGGTGCACACGTGAGGGCATTGGGTAAACGCTGCCCTTGTGCCGGATGCAGCAGGCTGGGCTGAAGGAACGGAGCAGGGAGACTGAAGGAGTGATTGACGTTTCACCTCACAGGAGTTTACTGAGGCCGCCGCTTCACGAGAACACGGGCAGGAAGTTTCAACTCAACAGAAAGGTCAAAACATAAAGAAAAATACACATGCTGGCTGCACCGCCGACATCTGAGGCGTAAATGGGAGATTCAGGTAATCACAGAAAATATATGGAGTTGCAGTGTAAAGAAACTAAAACTTTGTGACAGTATTTATATGCCTGATGGCACAAATCAGTCCAACAGTAACTACAGGTGTCCTAATATGCTTCCTAGAACAGGTTAGGATTGGAATATGGTCTAAACAAAACATTTTCATTACAATTTTTGCACAAATTCATTCTTAGATGACGAGACTTTATTTCAGATTTTATGACTTCTGTCATAAAATACCCCCGAAATTCAACATTTACACTCGTACATAAAAATGCCTGCAAATTGATGTGTAATTATACAACTGTACATCTTTGAAAAGCAGAAGTGGAGCTTCCTGCACAACCAACAAGAATGTAGCAAGTGGTTTCTATCTGTAAAATCAACAACAAAACTCATCTTTCCTGACTGGAGATTTCTTAGCTGTTGTAATTTCATTCTGGTCTTGTTTTATAACATAAGAACACTACATCGTTCATTTATTAACCGTCTGCAGCAGTTAGCTGTGCTGCGGCACAAACACTAGCTTGTTCGTAAATACAACCCATCAGTAAATATTTGCTTTTTGTCTTATCATTATGATGTCTCATTTTTAAAAGAAAAAACACAAGAAATTAATAAATGAAGAGTCACAGCTTTACAAGCCACAGTTCACTAGAGTATCAAACTGTTTTTTTTTATTGTTTTTTTATAATTCAGCAGTGAGAAATTTAGAACCAAATCAAAAACCCAGTAGTTGCTAGGGGACAAAAATCTAAAAATGTATCAGCATCATAAAGAGTCAAGAAGTTTTTACCAAATTACAATTTCAAACTACTAATTTTCTAACATCCATGCAGCAGCTAGCTGTACTACGTCTATTGTAAGCTTGAATGTAAACAGGAACAACTGGACATTTTCGGGTTTTTGGTCCATCTCCGTCAAAAAGCAGTACACAGTCAATACAGTATACCACAATTTTGAAGCATGGGCTCTTTTCTAATTTCCTGTGGCGGCTAGCTGTGCTGCAGGACTGATCCTAGCCAGCAAATGAGCAGGAACAAATAGTGGAGAGTTGTTTTCTGGGCTTATTTTTATGCAGTTCTGCAGCTAACAACGTTTCAGTTGACATATTTACTTTGGCTTTCTTATAAACTGCCAAGACGAGATAACTGGCAGTCTTTGCATCATCTTCAGTCTTCTAATCACATATTCATAACCACACTATATCATCAGAAACAGTGTGCATTCTTATATGTTAAAAAAAGATTCCAAACTACATAATTGTTGCTTTAGTTATTATGTTGTTTTCATTCTGGCAAGCAGATATCAAAACGAAGCACAGCGACCTTTTATGCAGTCTGGATAACACAGTTTTTCTTTCTCTGATCAAACACTCTGTTTTGCTTCAAATGTTAGAAAGTGCATCTTTGATTCGCGTCCAACGTGTGGGAGTGGGGTTGGATAAACAGGCTCACACAGCAGGGGAGGAACAGAAGCGAAAACAATGAGCACAAGCTAAAGCAGCTCCATGTCGCTGTTTGTGCTGCTCAGGTAAATTAGACTGAAGTAATGTTTCTGCTAGTCATCTGACACATTTACCTTGTTCCTTTGATTAAGCAGCTAAGACAACAAGCGCTCGCTGTGTTTGCATCGATTGCGCCGTTTCTAGCGGTGATTAAACTGTCAGGGCTGAAACTCGCTGAAACCTCCGCATCCTCCATTTCATGTGTTGCCAGGTTTGATCTGAGAAAACATTTCGCTGAGTTTGGGGGTAAAATAAATGTTTTTAATAACTCCTGATGCGTTTTTTATGAACACAGCCGACTGCTTCGCCTTCAGCTGCAGAAATACAGGAGTGAAGCTGCCAGGTTATTGCAGTCACATTCACATTATTTTTGCAAATACATTCCTTGTGAACCCCTACTTTGTTTTTGTTTTTAAGTTATGCAAATCTCTTGTATATGGACTATGCAATATGCTGGAAGCAATATATGCAGTAAAGGGAGTAATACACTAGCAACATATGCAGGTATTTCTCACAGGGTTAGGTTCTTATTTTGATCTTAAAACATAAAATCACTGCTATCTGCAGATGTGTTCAAAAATAACAGCAGGAGAAATTATATTTACTAGTATATTTAGTAGAGTAACAGAAAACCAACAGGCATGACATGCACACTTCTGATTCTGTGTAATTGAATTATTATTATCAAGTTATTAACTGGAGTTTAATCATTGGGGTGCTTTATTGAAATATGAATTCTTCCACTAAAGGAGGGGCATTCAAAGTGCAACCTGGGGGCCAATTGTGATTTGTGAACAGTGGAATGGTTGGTACACATGGACACATTTTCTTCTTTTTGGATATTTTTTTCAGTTTTACAAAAGAAAATAGAAAATGATATCTTCCTCAAAATGTATTAGCTGCAAAAAACAGAAGTAACCAAAAACACTGACCTGCTTTTTCATAAGCAAATCTTACAACCCAAATAAGAACAACTTCAAAAGAAATGAGGATTTATTTGTTTTCTACAAACATTCGACTATTTTGTTGAGTTTCATAAAAATGTAGGTTTCCTTCAGCAGATAAAATGAAAAATACAAAGTTTTTGTGTCACTATGTGCTTTCAACTTAACAATTTCGGCCCTAATGACAAAACGTCCGGACACCACATCGCAGTAGCAGACACAGTGGATGGGTTCTGCATGTCTGGGAAACTTCAAATCTAGTGCGTTTCTTTTATTTTATGAAAATACAAGATTTATCATTACCTTCTTCACTGCAATCTACAGCTGGAAAAATTGAAATATTCATGTTTTAGGAGTGCAGACCTTCTGCATTTAATCAGACAAGCAGCAGAAAAACAAGCAAAGTCTATGAATGCTTAATAAACCAATAAATGTGTTGCAAAACTGACTTCCATTTTATCAGAAGCACCAAAAGGATTTATACACTGATGACAAAAAGACATGCAGCAATATTCCTCTGCAGCCTGGCGACCTCTTCAGAGACAAATGGATTGAAATAATAAGAACACGCTTTCAGGCCAGCCCAGTTTAACGTTATTTCAGTGTAAAAGTCAATTATGTTGTTGGTTTTTATATCAGACCAGTGAAATTCTTTGCTTTCTCCGTTCCAAAGCTCGAGATACTCTGTGATAACAATAAACTGCTCCTACAGGCTTCAGGCTCTGATGGTTTGGCTATAAAAGTCACATATTCACTTTTAGTACATATAAAAACACATTATTGGACAGAAAAGAAGGGAAAGGCAGATAGAAACATCTATCAGTTCACTTTTATGTTAGGTGTTGGCCTAACAAGGCCACTGCCAAGAACAAGCAGTTAACTGCTAAGCTAGCAAGGTAATTAGCATGCTAGCGCCGAAATGTAGGACAGCTGTTTCACTCTCAAAACATAGTTTGCACAGATAGCTTTGTGAGATTACTAATATTAGAAATTTGTAATATTTCTACTATTACATGTGCTTGGAAAACGTTAACAACCTATAATTAAACGAAAATAACACTGTGGCTCTTTTTTTTTGCTTATGCTCTTCTTTGTGTATCTGATGGCCATGTTTCGTTGTGCAGATCAAACGACACATGGGCAGCACTGCCACCTTATGGTGTGACTCGGCATTACCTCTCCATTCATTATATTTTCAATCCCTTTTAATTCTGTTCAGTTATCTATAAAAGAAAACAATGTGAGCACATCTTTGTGTGTGTCACACCTAGTTTGATCATTTTGTTACATGCCGGATTCATGTTAATGCGCATTTGAAGACAGAAGACAAAGGAAAACATGGCAGTGTATTGGAAGACTTACGTCTCATGTCTCTGAAGTAAATGGTCTGTCTGTTGGGGTTGAGCAGCTGGATAACGGAGTCATCGTTGTCCTTCACCCGACAGCTGATGATCGCCGTCTCTCCCTCCACCACAGCCACGTCGTCCGTCACCAGGTTCTGACTCACCACTGCGTGACAGAAAGGAGACAGGAAGGCTTAAATTACGGGACGTCAGTGAATGCACCATGGAGAAGAACGCCGTGCAAAGCAAACGGGCGATTCAAACTGAAGGCAAAACGTTGTTAAATTTGACGAGAGGAAGGCAAATCTTAACCCAGGGGTGTCTAAAGTACAGCCTGAGAGCCAATTGAAGCCCCTGCTTGTAATAATGACACGTTTTGCTTTCTTTTGCTGAGAACAAGTCGAGTGTTTGTGAGAGAGTGACAGCTAACTGATTCAGTTCTAAAGCAGATCGAACACGCCTCACGCGCCTCATCCTTCCCGGTGAACAGAACCGCTCCCGGTCCAGACGAACCAGCGGGAGCCTTCATCGCTCTGATCGCAGCGCTTCCTCGTTGCTCAAACAATATCTGCGCCCCGAGGATGAGGCATTGAGCCGCTCCGGCTCCGCGTTGTTAGGATTTGAAAGAGTGCAGCAATAAGCGCTCAGACTTGGCTTTGGGCTAGCATCTCTCGGTTAGCCTGTGGCGGCGCCGGCTCGTTCTGGATGATGAGTGGAGAGCGGAGACGAGCCGGGCAACCAGCCAGCAGGGGGCGCCGGTGACGAGGACCCCCCGCCGACAGAACCACGAGTCCAGTGACAGGAAACAAACAGGACGTCAAATTATTGGGAGACGAGTTCATTGAGGAAACCGAGGAGGATCTGAAAGGTAAACAAACACTGTGTACGTGTCACCATGTCTCCGAGCAGCTTGTCAACATTTAAAAATTAAACACCCAGAAATGACCCGGCTGATGAATTATAAACCAGAGCAGCAGCACCGAACCAAAGCACATCCAATTACCGGGATCAGACCTGTCTGAACACACGCCGCTGATTCATGAGAGCAAATATGTTCCAGAGGAAAGAAAAAAAAACCCCTCATAATTTAACAAATCGGGTTTTCTATTAGCATCAGGGGGAGAACTGTGTCACGGCAACATGTCGGGGTAAAGAACGGCTTTAATCATGTATGAATGCAGGCGCTGCAGGCCAGCAACAACCGACTGCAGATCAGACCCAGATTTCAGAGGCTCATTTCCACCAGACGCCCGGTCTGCTCAGCGCCACCGTCAGGAGGTTGAGGCCAAATCAGCAACCTGCAGCTCCTGGACACCAAAACACCCCTCTGCTTGTGACAAACTCTGAGTGCTCATGCCTTCATCCGCACTTTGCATGGACTTCCTTTTATTCTTCATTCACTTTTCAACAGCCGGAACCATCAGGGCTGTGGCAAAACAAAAAAATAAATCAAATCGATTCACCTAAGAACCGCAAATCTAGGATGGCAAATTAGGAGAACACAAAGGGGAAAAAATATTTTAAAAAATTGCAAGAATAAAGTGGAAATAATATCAGTATAAAGTCATAAGATTATGAGAATAAAGTCTTAATACTATAACTTTATCCTCAAAATATTATGACTTCTCATAATTTTATGATTTTATTCTCATCATTTTTTTGTATTAGTTTAACCCTAAATCTTATCAGCTTATTCTCAAATTATTATACCTTTTCTCATATTATTACAACTTTATTCTAATACAAGTTAATTCTTGTGATTCTATATTTTACTTCTCATCATTTTATGACTTTGTTCTCAATTCCATTGTACGATTGTAATTCAGGATCAATTGAAAATGTTTCAAAATCCTTTAAAAAAATGTCATCTGTCTGTCAGCCTCCATTTTGTAATGACATGGGATTACTTTACATTACTTTAAAGAGACATTCATGTATTTTCAGGCACATGGTGCCATTTTATGACACAATCAAGTAACTAGGTTGTTTTTAGTTGCTATAAAATTGCTTCATATATCAAACATGACTTAAAATTTCCTTCCTGATTTAACACCTTGAAATTTGGTCTCTGTCTCCTTAAAAACTCATCCTCTCTCTGAAGAGGATGAAGCTCCGCCTTCAGGAAGTCACCCCAACATGGCTCCTCTATTAACCAGTGATGCTCTGAGGTGTTTGCTAATTACTACTGGCTAGTCTGAAGGAGCTGAATGGGAAAGGAGCTGAGCCTCAAAGGCAGGACTAGGTGCACCCAGGTGTTTTAAAAGCTTGCCATGGAGCTTAAATGATTTCTCAAACATGAAAGAATCAAAGCAACACTCCAAGTTAGTTATTGATGGGGGAAAAACATTACACATGATGAAGAGATAAAAAGTCGATTTTACATGAAACTACGCCCTTTGGGAATGTTTTTGCAACATGGAAAGGAATTCTAAACATTTTCTCCATCCTTGGACACTTTATACAGGATTTATCCAGGTGGTCATAATGTAATGCCTATTTTTCCAACAAGATTGGATTTAAAACTTCATATGCGCCGGCTGTTGTTGCCTCTGAAGTGCAGGCAGCCGTATTGATTCCCTCGCTAGGAGGTTCCTCACCATTCAAAAGGTCAGTGGTTTGAACTCCAGAGTCAGAATAACCATGCATGAGATCCCAACGCTCCACTTCTCCATCATGCATTCATTACTGAGTGATTTCCACAGGAATGTGCTTCTGAATGTGACCTCTACTACTGACGTGTTGAAGTGTTGCTAAAGAGGATAAAAACATCAACGGTTCACCATTTTACAGCCGCTGTTCGCAAGGAAACCGGAACAAGTAACTTCCTACAACACTAACTGCTCTTTATTTCGTTTGACCTGTGAGTTTAAAAGTACTAAATTAAAATAGATATAAAGCTGCACATTTAAAGGACCTGCTGTCTAAAGGTGTGTTCACACCAGCCTGTGTCTAGAAGGTCCGGTTCGCTTGGGGAGATGAGAACACAAAGTTGATCTCTGGGCCGCCTGCAGACCTTGATCTGAGTTCGGCTGAAGTGAACTCTGGTTCGGTTTGAATGCATATGTATATACCAAGTGGCGACTATTCCAAAAGCAGGAAGTGGACTACATCACAGGGGATTCTGGGTAAATACAACTAAAACAAACATGCTAGCCTAGCGGAAGAAATGGCTCGTGGTCTTTTAGCTAAAGACAAATCCTACAACGGCTAAAATCTGACGCCTCAATTTTTGTTTCCGTTTAGGAAGAAGGAAATGACGCTCGGTTTCTTCTTCAGAGGCTTTTGTGTCATTTCCTTCAGTGGCTCTTAATGCAATGAAACGGATGCTGACGTTTTGTTCCCCAATAAAACCGAGTATGCTGGACCATGAGGAGAGAAAACAGCCTAAAAGTCTTCAAGAACAGAGTTCAATTCTGCCAGCAGGTTAGAAAAGTCCTGGAAAAACAAGTTTAAATAATCTTCCACCATATTAAACTTTAGTTTATGTTCTATTGAAGCACCTGGTTCGGTTCAGGCATGAAGCCTAATACAGATCAGATTATTTACACATATGCAAATGGCTGTTGAATACAGAAATTACATCACTGCTTTGGCGCCCCCTCTGGGGCAGCATTGTTGCGCCATTTTTTATTTCTTTGCTAATAAAAGATGAAACTCCTCCTTTCTCTGCCTGGTGGAAGCAGCTCTGACTCTTCCTGAAGCTCATGGCGACGGCGGTGGCCGCCGTTAATTAGCCTCCGCCTTCCTCCGCCATGTCAGACGTGTTTATTTTGCACAACAGGAACAATTAAGCCGCTGACAAGGCATCCTCATTTAAAGTCGTCCCCGGCAGACACCTTGCGGCCCCCCGCTGTAACCTTCAGTGGTGCCTTGAAATGCGTTTGGCTGTATGGAAGACATATTATCATAAGCAGATGCCCACGCTGCCGCCCACCGCCGCTCAGCTCCGAGAAGCGAGGTCGGCTCCTGAATATCAAAGACACGGAGGTTCATTTAGTCGGGGTTCTATTTGGGCCGCCGAGGCCCGGCGAGGCCCGTTGATCTGAAGCTCATTTGTTAAGCTGTCTGTCCTCATCCGTCAGCATCACAACAGCCAATTTCTCCTTCCCTGCTCATCTTCCCATCTCCTAATGGCCGGGGATGTTCAGAGCTTCTTCACTTCTGAGGTATGCAGATAAGAAGTTCCCGCTCTTCCCTGTGTTGGCCCGTCTTCTCTTTATTTTAATCGTTCATTAAATCAATGCAAATTGATTTTTTTTCCTCTAACATCTGTGAGCGTTGTTAGCGCTCTTATCTCACGAGAAGCAGATTTGTCTGATCATAAACATCATATCTGACAACCTTCAGCCTCCACCTGTTTGTGAGTGATGTCGTGTTTATTAGGTGAGTTGCTGCTGCTGTGCGATCTCTTATTAGATTAAATTAAAACTAATCAAAAGCAATATTGTGCCGCAAAGACTGAATTGGCTTGCAATCCCCTCTACTTAACATCAGCGACCCGAGCGGTGTGCGCCGGTCCTTTCAGATCATCCAACATCAACGGAAATTAATCACTCTTATGCTGTAAAACATTGTTATTTGCATGTATATGTTTAAATTTATATAAGTATGCATATGTATTCTTGTTTTACAATTGATTTGTCTGAAATAAAAGAAAATCAGCTGGTCCTACAGACTAAGTTTCCATTACAAATGTTAAGAAAACACTATTTCACATTTACGGTGTATCCATTAAATAAGAAACGTAAATAAAATACGACACGCCGCAGTTTGTTTGCATGAAAAAACATGCAGCACCATCCCCCTCCATCTACTTCCTGTTGTCTTCTTAGTGGTTTCCGCCAGTAGTGACATTTGGCCGTTGATCAGGTGACTCATCTGATGTGCAGAAAGTGTTTCTATCGCAGTTTTGCGAAGTAGAAACTGTGCTACGGCCACAAATAAATACCTCATTATAACACAAAACGTTCTACTGTATAGGGATAGTTGGCGCGTTTCCATTACGCAAAATAATTTTAGGAATGTGAATTTGTGCAATTTTACGGTCAATGGAAACGCAGCTATAGAAGGAGGATTACTGGTTCCTCTTAGCTTTTGTCTTTTAAGGCAGAAACGTGAAGTTACAGAAAAGATGAATGTTTTTATCGTTTTCCATGTCGGCGTGTG